GGTGGTAAAGGGATATTCACAACTCCATCCATGTGGGATCTACAATATAAGAAAATATGAATAAGATATATAGAGGATGAGCAAGTTACAATATGTTTTCCGTTTGATTATCCAAATGGTAAAACATTTACCTACATTGCACAAATAGCTTTAGTCAGTTGAGTTTGAAAATTGAACGATGCAACAAGAACTTTCAAACGATCAAAGACTTAACATCGTGGTCGAAGCATTTTACAGTGAAAGTTTTCATATTACAAAGCCAACAAATAAGACTAGTTGTTATTCCAAGTAACTCATACTTCCCTGCTTAGACAGTAAAATAGAGAGAATTTACCTTGTTTTCTAACATTAAAGTGACTAAACCGTTGTTAACACTTCATTAATATAAGTCATAAAAAAGATTTTTTATAGTGATTGTCTCCTTAGGAGCATGTCATCCATTTAAAAAGACAATAAGTAATCCTTCAGTGAAGGCTTCAGTGCTTTTAAATGAAAATAATTCATCAGAATTTTCAGATTTTTTTGCGTTTATATGTCGTTACGCAAAGTAACGGGATATGATGTTGTAGGTTGGGATTCAAGAGACGATAGTTAATGTAGAAACTAGACTTTAATTTTGTCCATCTTGTAGTCATATCTTGCTAGGTTAAGGTTAGGAGAGGGTTTAAATGCGCTCTGTTTGCCCTGAGTTTTCTCGAGTACTACAAATATTGTAAGAAATTCGAGCAAAAGACAATTATGGATCTCGTTCATTGCAATTTTTCACCACAATCTGAAAAAACTGCACCTCTAGCGCTCAACCACATAGTGCATTGGAGACAGACGACAAATTTAGTGTATTTATCATTGCATCTATTCAATAACGACTAATGTGACATTGAAGAAACAAACCAAAAGTCAATAGCATCAATAAAAAAACATTGAGATTTTCAAAAGAACAATATAGAGATAAATGAAGAAGCAAATAATCATTTATCGTCAGCGTAGTCACTTACATTTAGTTTCCAGCCGTGGGATTTATTTTTATACATGATACCGAAGCAAGTACGTGGGTAAAACATTTCAAAAGGGTTTGAAGGCAACACCTTTATTTTGCTTTGCACAATCATAAATCTTTTTACTTGTCGTCTATGTGCATAGTCTTGTTCCATCTCATGTGAACAATATCTGTTTTCTACGACGTCTCGTGATTTACTTGTGGCAACACTTAAAGTGAATAGTATTTTTATGCATGGTGTTAAGCATGTCATTATATGTATTTGTTCCACATGATTGTTTAACATTCATAGTTTGTACTTGAACAAATTACCGTAAATCTATCAAATCTAATTTTTTAAAACAAAGCGTATTGTTACCAAACAAAAGAACTATATGTTTGTAAATGATGATCTTCCAGGTTAATAAAGTCCTGAGAAGGACTGTTTTTGTTGTTGTTGACTGACGTTTCGACAACCTTAGGCCCGGTTCAAACGTCGCATTTTACATGCGCCGAATCAAATCTGAGTTTTAGTCGACTAAAATAGTTTTATGCGTAGTTTGATTCAGACGTCGAATTTAATAGTCGCATTTATTATAGTTATGCTTCCACTTTTTCATAGTTTATTCATTTTCTTGTACTAATTTCCTAAATGGCGAACAGGAAAATGTTGAGTTTATGCATTTCAAATATAATTCGTGTTAATAGGAAAAGACGAATATTGATGCATGCTACAGCAAATAAACTATTAGAAACGAGACGGCAGCTTCTGCAAATTTCCCATGTTTTTCTACGATTAATTGGTCAAAAAAATGCCTTCATACGTAGCCCTCCTTATCGATCTTGTCGAAAACAAGATAGAAATTCCGGCTGGTGGAAGAAAGTTTGGAGTATTTATTCTGATCTTCGATTCAAAAAAACATTTCGTGTATCTCGAGGAAACTTTCTTTTTATTTCAAGTCGTATTCGACCTATACTTTAAAAGCAAACTGTCACAGAGGAACCCCATTCTCCGGAGGAAAGACTTGGTATATGCCTTTACAGATTGGGACGAGGAGATTACTTTTACACCATCGCTGAAATGTCAGGAAGAGGAGTATCAACGGTGAGCACCATTGTGCAGCAGGTATGTCAACTTCTCGTTGAATACTTATGGAATGAAACAATTTCAAAAAACATGCTGAAATGTCAGACTGATTTCAAGAAAAAAATCGTGGACATGGAAGAATTATGGCAATTTCCCTGTATCTGGGCTGCTTTGGATGGTTGCCATATTCCTATAAAATGCCCCCCTTGGTGGTCTTCAAGCGTGCAAAGAATATCATAACTACAAGAATTATTATTCAATTGTTTTAATGGCCTTGGTCGATTCTACTTCGCCTTCGGTGCTCTCACAAGAGGACAGTCGAAATGCACGTATGCTCGCCCGAGAAGATGTACTCCTACCAATTTACTGATCGACTTCCTCAATCCCAATCTTTTCACGAAAACATGCATCGCAACGAGAAACCGCTCGTTCTGCTTTCCAACCAACACTCCCTTCATCGTCTTTAAAAATAGAGCACCTTGTACATATAAATTTTTTGCACTTTAAACAAGTGTATTTTGTTAAACTTGTGCACGAAATACAAGGGCATTACCATCACTCGCCGCCGCCATGTTTTTACAACTTTGCGAATGGCATTTAGCATGGAAATAATTGATTTTTGCTTAGAATATCTTAAAATAAATTATGCATTAAATTCGGCTCATGTAAAATGCGACGTTTGAATCAACATGAATTTTCGTCGCATATTCGACTAACTCAGTCGAATATGCGACTAAAGTCGCATTAAATTAAAATCCGTCGAATTTAATTGATTCAAACGTCGCATTTTACATGCACATAATTCTCGCATTTGATTCGGCGCATGTAAAATGCGACGTTTGAACTGGGCCTTAGCGGTAGTCATCTTCAAAGTCAAATGAGGAGTATACGTCAGGTTAGCCGTATTTGTTGTCTGGTTCTTACGTCATTGTATTGTGTGTACAGGAAATGTGCAGGAAATGTGTATTGTCATTGTGGATTAGTGTGAAGTGAAATATTTTATTTTTAGTTGTGATGTGTGATTTAGGTGTGACGTTTTTAGTTGTAGTGTGTAGGTGTCAATTGTGTATTGTCATTGTGAATTAGTTTGAAGTGTAATGTTTTTAGTTGATCGTTTGTTTGTATTGTGAATAAGTCGTTTGTAAGGTGCCGGTAATTGCTGTGATCTGTTCAGGGGGGTTTGTTCCAAGTTGGTATACCAACTTTCTAATGTAAGCCGTTGTCTATAGTCAGTACTGTATTTAATGCATTTTGCCGAGTCCCAGTCAATGTTGTGCTTTGTGATTCGGTGATGTTCGGCAATGTGATTAGTTTTGTCTTGTTTCTTAGTAGCTCGTTTGTGCTCAGTAAGTCTTATGTTTAACTTCCTGCCAGTTTCCCCGATATAGGAAACTGACGTTTACTCCCCATTTGACTCTGAAGATGACTACCGCTAAGGTTGTCGAAACGTCAGTCAACAACAACAAAAACAGTCCTTCTCAGGACTTTATTAACCTGGACGATCATCATTTACAAACATATAACGATACTCCCGGGTTCAAACCATTTACTTCAAAAGAACTATGTTCTCCCTTCATTAATATACGTAAAATGCAAAAGATAATTGACCATTTTTCTGTGATATTACGCAAATCCTTAATTAATTAAGTTATTCAGCCTATTAAATAACACAAATATCATCGTTTTCGGCATTAAGATGTTGGTGACGTCAACCAAAACACCCTTAAACCCTCTCCTGACCTTAACATAGCAAGATCAGATTGTAAGATTTCATAAATATTTCTACAAAATTAAAGTATAGTTTCCAAATTTAATATCGTCTCATGAATCTAAACCTACAACATCATGCATCGTTACTTTGGATAACGACATTAAAACGTAAAAAAATCTGAAAATTCAAATGACTTTTTTTTAAACGCATTGAAGTTGATTTGAACGCAAGTCTTTTTGATAGATGACAAGCTCCTAAGGAGCCATTCACAATAAAAAAATTTAGTCACGACGTTAATTAAAGAAATGCTAACAACGGAAAATTAGTCACTTAAAGGGCTGTTTATATGAGCCTGGTTAACCGGAATTCAGTGAGGCGTTAAATGATTTCGACGCTATGAAAGGGAGGGAGGGGGGGGGGCATCTCGACAAGATTTTTCTTATGATAAGTATAGAATCGTTTTAGAAGTGTATTGAATAGAATTTTTGTCATTACTTTGTGTTGATGCTTGGTTTAGTGTAATAGTTGTTTTATGTTTGAAAAACATGTCCCAACAACTGTAGGATCAAGTTGCAAAAAATTTTAATAAGATCATTATGTAAGAAAAAAACATGACTGAAAACATGTTTTTTGGGGAGGACATTTTGCTGCGTAGCGGTTATTGATTGATGATTGGGGGGGAGGCACTAATATTTATATACCGTATACATGTTTTACTATGTTAGTTATTTAATTTCTTTTGAAATCCATAGTGATTAAGGATTATACAATATGAATAATGACAATAAACTAATAAAAAAAAGGTTGACTTTTTTGTGCATCTTGATTCCTACAGTAGGTAGCAAAGAGTTGAAAACCCACAACAGACATGTTCATGTATTTAAAATAACCCCTTCCTCTCTATTAACTACAACTTGCTCTGTTTGATTCATATTTTTTCCTTTGACAGACATTAGTCATGGTCTGTTCTTTGAAAATGCTATTATGGACATAATGTTCCATTTTATAACTTAATTAAGGCAAAAAATCTGCAATGTATAAATTAAGTGTTCCATAATTGTGGAAAAGTGTGAATTGGTAGAATATTGTTGTAAAAATAAGGCAGGTTATAATTTCACCTATCAAAACAGAAGATAGTCAAATTGTCAAAGTTGTGATGCAGTTGATGTGAAATAAAAAACACCCCTTAATCAATGACACCAAAAATGCACTGTTTATAGGCAAACCTTGCTTCAATAGTTTCCTCAAGGATGCGACAACTTTGGGTAATTATATTTGTCGAATGGAGATTCTCATGTTGATTCACCCCACCACTAGCTTCATCTTTAATACAAGTTTCAACTATAGCCACAGATGAATTTTCAAACAAAGGTAAGGTCTAGCTTCTTGGAGAAGTTGGTTGAAGCTATCTGAAGAAATGTAGAGAGATTAGGAAGATATAAAACAAAGTAACAATGTCCTGTAATACTCCAAGCTTGGTAAAACAAAACTCTGTAATTCAAATGCATCATTTACGTATATTAATATGCAAGTTAGGCATAGTAAAGGGTTCAAATTGGTATTTGAGGGAAGGAGCCCCTTTGCTTAAATTTCTCTCACAAAAATCAAGGCAATCTATAGTTGATAACATTGATAGAAAGCCATCTAGATTGAAACATTCACTAATTTAGCTTCAAAAACAAACTTAAACTTTTATGACATTTTGATTACCCTACTATGCTATTAAAAGATAAAAAGTGCACTATGATTCAATGTATTGATTTGAAATATATGATTTCCTTAATGCACATGATAAGGTAAAATTGTAACAGTGTTTTGTGAAGACGCAAATAATGCCAAGTTCTAATCGGTAATTCAGAATGCAAGATTAGTTATAATTATAAGTCAATATATATATAATTATATAGTAATTATATATAGTCAATATATAATTATAAGTCAATATCTTGGGAATAGTAAAAAAGTATGACTTCGAAAAACATCATAGTATTAAACCAAACAGAGGTTGATGCTATGGTTACTGTTACATTCTTGGGTCATTGGTGTGTAGTCTAATTTAACACATAAAACCCGGTTTCCATATAATCGTCTCGATCGTCTGTCGTCTGAAAGCGTGCAGGGACGATATTGCACGCAGTCGTTTTAATCGTCTATATAGAACAGAGTTCCATCTTGACAATTGTAATCGCTTTGATGGCCTCGTTCGAAAATAAATCCACGAAAATAAATCATCAATAAATTTAACTCACCTCTGTATATTTCATACTGTGTTGTAAACATTTATCGCAATGTATTTACGGTTCTCGGTTTGTTTGAAATTGCATCTTTAGTGGTCACTTACATACAGTTTTCATTCTATTTTTTCTCGCACACTTATCTATTTCCAAACACTCATAAAGACATAAACGGGCAAAAATTCGATTGTACAATGATTGTACGCGCGGAATATGTCTGTCGGGGGGACTCGGGAGAAAGTTAAACGTAAATAGCGCAAACAATATTTTTTTTATTTCAACCAATCATTCGCGCCATTGGTTCCCGCACTTGCGCAAAAAATGTGAAGTTTAAATTTAAATTCATCCCGCTGCACGAATATCAATTGATTTCATGCGCCACTAATGAGAAGCTTTATAAAAGGAAAAAGGTAAGTTATAACTTATATATAGATCGGGTTTATTTAATTAGAATAACAACAAGATGGATAGGTCTAATTGAAAGTACTTTGTATTTTACACAGATAAATTTGAAGTTATTGCCACATGATAATAAACGGAATGTAACTATTTAAGCTGATTCGTTATTTTCAAACCATTGTTACATAAATAAATCGTAATGCCAAACGCATTTTGGAAGTTTAACATACTACTGTACGTATGTCACTAAATAGTACAACTGTACGTTGGCGAAGGCCGACCGAACTGTTGTGGACGAAATATACACTACAGCAGGCACGTTTATATGAACGGGCTAGCTACAGGGTGTATCAATAACGACATTTAGAAACTAACCTATCGTGAAATTTCAAGACCTGATGACGATGCTAATCTCTGTGATACATTTCAGCGCATGTTTTGTTGTTAGAACTTGTGTCAAATTCCCAGGATAAGAAAAGCTTTTGCGCAAGTATATGCACGTAGCTAACAATACTTTACGCAGTAGTGAGCCGAGCCTAGTCGTAGCAATTGAAATTATCACAATACGTCAATTTCTAAAGATCTTTGATACACCCTGTACATTATACACCCTGTATACATTACACCCTGTACACCATACAGCCTGTACACAATAGACCCTGTACACTTAACACCTAGTACACAATACACCCTGTACACAATACACCCTGTGCACAATACACCCTGTACACAATACACCCTGTACACAATACACCCTGTACACAATACACCCTGTACACTTAACACCCTGTACACAATACACCCTGTGCACAATACACCCTGTACAATTAACACCCTGTACACAATACACTCTGTACACAATGCACCCTGTATACAATACACCCTGTAAACAATACACCCTGTACACCATACACCCATTACACAATACACCCTGTACACAATACACCCTGTACACAATACACCCTATCCCTGCACACTTTACACCATGTACACTAAACACTCTTCAAGATTCATCACTAAACACTGCACCGAGGGTATTAAAAAATTTAAACATTGAAACCATTTGAAATCAACTCAAGTTTTGACTATAAATGCATGGTTCAGCAGTAATTGTACCTCAAGGAGGCAGCTAGTGCACATAGTAAATCCAAGAATATAATTCTTTTTTGTTGTGTTTACGCCTCCTTGTGGATCAATGGAAATTCTAAAGGTCAGATGATATCTACGGATTGAATTTTTTTAACACACCCTGTATGCTTTATATACACAATTTGTATAACAATGTACCCTCCTGTACAATGGTCGCTCAGGACTGGGGAGTAGAACAGAAGGTTACACATTGTTGCTGTTTTACACTCGAGTCACCAGAGTGCTCAAACATGTAGAAATATTCCTTCGACTTTTATGTTCTTGAGGACAATATTCATAAGACATCCCTACAACATAAGACAAGGTATAAACAGATTTTTAAACTTGTGGTTTGCCAGAGGGGCGAAGGAATCTTTAAAAGAATGTGGTTATGTGGATGCCAAAAATGATTATAAAAACAGGAAAGGCATACTGTATATAATCTCAATGTTTAAAGTTGTGTGGAACACAAATATTGAAAATCAAATGGTCTGTACTGTATGCATGTTATTCAGAACTAGCTTCATTGAAATACTGAGTGATGCAATGAAATGCTCTTCAAAGTAATGTTTAATGGTGAAAATTCCGTCTCCAAACGCTTTCATGCTAATCTTCTATACCCTAATATGCTTACTTTGACAAAAATTGCAAATGAGAAACCACACAATCAGCATGATGATGCAAATATAGATTATCTTTAGAAAAAACAATGGAAAATTCACTTGGTAAATTAAAGCTTAATTAATGTTTTTAAGGAAGCTTATTGAGCTTTAAATGAAATACATACCATACGCTACTTTGAACATGATCGTATATGACAGTGAGTTTCTACTCAACTTTAAAATTAAGTTCCTGAAATGAGGAAAAAATTATTTTCTGTAAAGAAATAACAAGCTAATTACTTCAACTAAAATGAATACTCCTCCTTAAACAAAACATTAAGATGCATTATTAGGAGTGTTGAAAGCATACAATAAGTGGAAAACATGACACAACTGCCAAATTGGTGAAGACAATTTTAAAGATGTGCCCCCATTTTAGTCCTTCCTGTGCCGCTGTGCAATAATATAGGTTGCATCTGAATTTGTGCAAACTTGAAATTGATAGTTATTTGAATGCACCAGAAGAATGGCCAGCTTCAAAATATTGCACTTCATTCTTTCTGCACATGATAAATAGCCATAGCGCAACTATTTTTTTTTGGCATCTTGGTTGCAAAATATTAATTTGTAGAATAACAAGATGTTCATTCACAGTGACTAATCCAATGTGACAATTTATGTTTAATACATTATGAGCATTGATCTGTGTAGATTGCTTCCCCTTGTTCCATATGTTGTAATCATTTAAAGCAGGTGGGGCTGTCAAAGCTCACCAGACTGGATCTGATAATAAAAATTACCAACTCTGATCACACTGAACTAACCTCTCCTAAAACACTTGCAAGATACAAATAAAGAGACTTGATTCTAATTCATACATTTTTAAAATTCACTCTATATTCAAGGTTAGTCGTTGAAGGACTGCATCTCAAATTTCGCTAAAGACATTAAAAATTTCAGGACAACACTTTCTCAGGGCCACTGCTACAACATTAGTTAGGGAAGGGTGTTATTCATCGATGCAACAGATATGAGTTGGACGCATTGAGTTCTCTGTGACCTTGAGGTCTTATGAGGTCTTATGCAACTCAATGGTTGGGTGCAACAGAATATATGAATTTCATAGCCCTCCAGCTAAGAACCTGTCTAATCATTTAATACTTGTTCAACAAATATTTCACCTTCGCAGCTATTCTTTTCTTTGTCTTAGCACTTTCCATGCACATTGACCAGAGAGTTTCACAATGTTTATTCCCGTGTATCAAGTTCATCCACCCCCTTTCTGGCTGCAATTCAAACAGTCATTTCCAAATTGCAATTCGCTCAAATTTCGATTCAATACTTCTCCAGTCTGCCTCCACATACAATCAAACTTCATGATTCACTACGGCAAGAGTTCAATCTTCCTATCAGTCCAAATTGGACGGCCTTTCAGTTAGAAATGCGTCGAGATTTCGACTGTCATTTGCCGCCATACGGCTACTCCACATGCACTAGTTCGTGTTGCAGGGGAAATGACGTAATTGTAGAGATAAATTATGTTTTATTTTATTTTTTTTTGCTTCATCGGATTGGATTCATGATTGGATTTCGATTCCGACACGGTATAAGTCCCAGTATCGTGTAAATAGTACTAATATAGAATGTACATAAGCTTGCATAGGAAATCATGGTACGAAAATAGAATTAAGTTAAGTTTATGATACAAATTCCGGAATTTTTTTCCAGATAACAACGTGTGCCATTGAAGTAAATGTGACTTAATCAATACTTTTTACCTTATGTTTTTGTAAAAAAGCCCAGAATATTTCTAGATAATAAAAACTTTAAACTCAGCAAGTCATCTTTTTAAATTGGAAAGGTGTTTGTTGTAAGGAAACTAACCAAAAAAATTTAACTTTTCTTGAATTCGGACATGCCCAAGAGTGGACATTGTGCCATTGTGTCATGGTACGTGGGCCCTTACTAGTATATGAAAATGGACCCTTTATACGCACATCTATGAAATACCAATGTTACTGATATTTAAAGAATTATTTGATTCTCGTACTTTTGCAGGTGTGACAACGAAAACAGTCAAGAAGTTTAAAGCAGGTCAAAAGGTGCGCAATAAAACTCCCCGGATGTTTAAAGGCAACAAAAGTTCCAAGAATGTGTAAATACTTCAGATCACCGTCAAAGTCATTGAAAATGAATCAATTTCTCTTTTTTGCCGCAGGGGTCGGTTGCACGAAGACTGGATAGCGTTATCCACTGGATAGCAAATTTTTCTGAACGCTCATAAAATCTCTCATAAGAGAAAAATATACGATTTGAACTGTGCAATCACTGAAATAAAATATTGTTTCGAAGATTACAAAATTTCTTTGTTGTAAGAAAAATATAAACGCCTTTTTTACAAGTTTGAAATTTTTGCTATCCAATGGATAACACTATCCAGGCTTCGTGCAACCGGCCCTAGGACTGTAACCTGGATAATCAAGACTACATACAACATGTAACTATACTCGCAGGCTTAAATCATTCACTATATCAATAAAGCACCAATATATTGCCATTCGTGATTTAATCAATATTTTTTACTTTATTCGAGACATCCTTTATATTACAAAACTTAACCGTACTTTTGAAACTTTCCATATGTAGAAGTAGAATGGTTGGTTACAATAATGGATCTAATTCAGCCGATGAGTTCCACCTTACTTTGCCTATTCAAGAGACATCTGATGGTGAGTATACTGCCATGCCAAATCATGGACCAACGGCTTATCAAAACATATCTAAACATGAATCCTCGTGTAGTAATTATAGAATTGCGAATCAAATTACTTTTCTTTTAAATTAGGGAGAAGTGATCTTAATGATTATCTAGATGATGACGAAATGTATTTCCCAGTGCATAAGGAGGAGTCCGTTGAAGATGATTTTCTTAATCAGTTAGAAAACAGCAAAATAAATAGATCTTTAGATAAATAGTACTACCCAGCAAACAATACGTAATATATAATGAAATAGATTTAGTTGACATATATTTAATTTTAATTTCTTAATCGGTGTTTTACCATTGATGTTCATTAAAAAATTACAATTCTTGTCAGCGCTAAAGGAAATTTGCCGGAAAGAATGAACATCTGCGTATTGCTGCTTGCGTATAGTAAAAGTTTGTATCAACGTACATGCATTTATGATTAAGAAGTGAGGAAGGAATGTATTTTCTTCTTCACTCTTGCAAAAGAAGAGTTTTTACTAAACCATGGGGAACACCAATCATTAGAAGAAGTGCTTGTTTTGAGTAGCTACTGATATTCAGACATCATTGTGAGAGAATAAGAAAGGAACTATTCCGTAGTCAGTCTGTTAAAACATATATAACTCGGGCAAAACGAGATATATTGCTGAGCATTGCAGAAATAATTCACATACTGCTCGTAAAACATTTCATGTAAATGTGGAAGCTTATTCTATTGGAATATTTTAGCAAAAATCTTGCAATTGTAGAAGAAATCACTCTGCTATTAATTAGAGAGAACACGATTAGCGTGAGAGAGCGTTTAGAAAACGGGCGTTGGTCTCAAATTCTAAATAAAATTTACTAAAGCGTATTATACGTATCTGCCGTCTGCTTTAATAGACTTCACTAGCACACCAAAACCGCTTTCTCTTTGAAAGTGGTGAAAATAAATCATAATCTTTGTGAAATTGATACACGCTACATCACCTGTTCAATTTGCATTCTCTCACCAAACTGCTTACTAAAGTATAAAATCGTGCAAAATTGGAGCAAAGAGAACTGTGATAACTCCACTGAACTATCATAGAAGGAAGGCTACCTGTAATAGACAACAGCTAGGGCTTTCTTTGCAAAACTTTATTTGCCGAAAAGTTGTGTATCCTTAATGTTAAACTTCATTTGAAAAGTTTTGTTTGCCAAATAGAAAAGGACGTTTGTTTTGTTTTGGGATATTTGTAAATCATACAAGTTATCTTTTCCTTCGCTTCTATCGGCCGTGCGTTTATATTGCGTTTAAAGAGTGGGCTCTACTGCCATCAAAATATCGAAAGACGTGTAGACTTCCATCTATTTTAGTTCAATAACACACTGATAACACACGATAACACACTGAACTGCTTGAAGACAGTGAACTGTATATGTAATTGACAGAAATGTTTTATTTGCTGTTACATGTAAAAGCTTGCCTGCGGGTTTTAATAAGAGCATGATATTTAATAAATATATATTGTCTTTATCATTTGAAAAACTAAGCCATGTATCATGCATCAATGAAAACTTTACAGCATTTGCCAGTTAGACGAATCGCAGATGCACATCTTTCAAATCTTACCATAGGTTATTAGTATAGTCGTTTAATCGGCTTGTTTGCAAGATTTCAGCGAGTCCAATCTTTTTCCTTGCAAGTCAAGAATTTTTATGTGATGTGAAGCCGCCATGTTGGTTTGTTAATTCAAATTTCCGACAAAAAAGATTACATTTTTAAATTCACTGATGAAAAGGAAATTAGTCGCAAAAATTTGAAAAAAATTGAAATCCAAGATCTTTGAAGGACATCTTAATTAATACAAGGACTTTCAAGAATATTCAAGTTTCTGTGTATTGTGTACGAACTCTGTTGAACATATCAACATAATCAACAACTTCAAGGGATTCAGCCATGTTCACCCATAACAAATCCAGATCAAAGCATGCATTTCTCTTAAGATATTTTAAAATGTGCTAATAAATATGTCACAAGAGCTAAATGAAAGTATATATTTCATGATAAATGTAAGTATTTATTATATTTTAGGAAATAGTTTATGAATCATCCAAACCTGAACGTGAAGCCAAAGTTACAGGGAAATTTGTCAACTTTCGCCATCAACCAACACTTGCTTGTTAAAATTTCAATGACTTCAAATAATAAATATTGTCGAGGTTTGTTAAGCGACGCATTTTTAATATAACTGATATACGTAAAATTTTCCCACAAAGTAGTCGTATGAACAGATGCTTGATAGGAATAAAAATAGAAAGAGATGTAGTCAGGGGCGAAATTTAAGGGGGGGTATGGGGGGGACTAACCCCCCAAAAATGTTAACGTTGCAGGGCAACGATTGAATTTGCATGGCTAATTACAAAACTAAACACTAGGATACGTGCGAACAGTTATCCACATAATTTGAAAATATAGTTCAGTTTTAATTTAAGCTGGATTTGCACTTCATGGGTAAAAACGGAAAACGGTAAACGGTAAACGGTACGCATCAAGGAAACTTTCCGTTTATAAATTTCCTCTTGTTTTGGCGGACATTTTAAAAGCAGATATGCATCATCATCGAAGTGTTCGTAAGTAAAATTATTGAAGGTTTTATATCTTAAGCACAGAATAGATACATACAGAAGCGCCCCACTCAGCGAAAAATCTGTCCCCTACTTGTACCCAGTTCTTAAGTGCGCATCTTTTGCGTCCGCCATTACTCCAGCCAGATAAACTGGCCAGAATGTATATAGATTAATATTATGAAGAGTTGTTTTTCGAAAATTTGACGAATTTAAATTCACTTATGGACAAAATTTTTAATGCCATCGGATAGGATAACAAGCATATGAGGTGAGAAACAGTTTTGTTGTAAAATACGTTCTTCAAATATAATTTTACGGGTTTTATAGTTTCTTGCCTTGAATTGTATGCGAGATCCATGTTTAGAACGTCTCTTATATTGAACGGCAGTTGCCCTAAGAATTTATAATTTAGGACAAAAGTAATAAATATATTTAGTGTGATTCCATTTCTATATTTTCTAGTAAAGAGTTTCCTATTAGAATGATCAACGGATTTGATAGAAGCGATAAAACGACCTACTGTGCGTAAAGAACGTTCTTCAGATGAAGACGTTATTGGTATAAAATTTGGACTAAACTAATTTATATTTGATTCTTGAATCGTGGCTTTTTATTTGCAATGTAGCTTGTCTGCATAATTATAATTGAAAGTTTTTATTTGTAATTGTATATTGAGTTCCTGTGGCTATCACGTCTGTCAAATTTGTATTAACTTACAAATAAAGATGCTTTTTGTTGTCTTATTTTTAATAAACAATATATGAAATTACAATTTTTAGAATGAAGTTATTGATAAATTGTTACAATTAAATTAACAACTTTACCATTATGTCAAACATATTGTCAATCTCCTACAGCTTACCTCTTTGGTTAAACTTCACTTGTGAGTTGTGACCAACAATTGTATGTGAAAAATGATTAGAATTATGTTTGATTCACTGCATTGATCAACCAGCAGAGAGAAATTATTGCAACAAAGGGCTCGAAAATTTAATTTTTGCTAAAATCCATAAACTTCATTCAGTAAATTAAAATTTTTATTGTAAGTAATCATGTCACAAACAGAATTTATTCTGACAAAAACCAGTTATAGTTACTCTTAATGCCATTATTTAAATCGTAATACTTTACACAGTAAAATGTTTACCAAAAGGTGAAACACAGATACACCAGAAAACTTTTTTAAAACATTTGACAGGGGGAAACTGTGCCAAGCCAACACCAATCCAATTCACAAAAGCATTCAGGAAGCTTTTTTATGTTCACTTCTCACATCATCAATAAGCATCCATGTCAAATATATAAATAATCTCCTGATTGAATTTAAAAAGGCAGAAATAACAAAGTTAAGTCATGTGGACCATATGGCAGTATATGTTTTACAAATTGCTATTCAAGCACTTTATTGGTGTAGGCCAACATGCTGCTGCTTATGTTCCAACTTGCTCAAAAGTCATTCAAGCTTCACAAGTTATAACTGTGATGAATACAAAATATTTTGGCATCAGATGACTTTCATAGTGGCCATGCAGCATCTCTTCTGATAGTTTAAAACACCTGGGTAGACAATTTTGGTGATTCGAATGTTCTGCCAAACGTTGTTTGCAATATATAAACTTAACTGGAGGATAATTTGATTTGTCACTTGTTTCAGCCACGACCGAGATTCCAAATGTTAGAACAAATGTCTTCAAGATTCTCTGCAGAATTCTTATATGATAAAATTAAAACTGACGACAAACCATATACCGAGTACGCATCTCGTCAGATACATATCTACTTTGCAAATATTCCGAATAAACCCTCATTTATCAAAACGGACGTCGAATTAATGATAAATTGTTGAGAGGTTGATGTGTTAACTGTATCCACACAAAAAAATATTAAAAAAATGGCCAATCTATAGAAATATTTGGGTTTATTTGCCAAAACCCATCCGTAGAACTATATATTATATTGCGATCTGGCTGATTTTATCTGGCTGGAAACATGGCCGCCGTGTAAAGTTGCCCGGATGCTGCGGACACGAACATCAAAGGTTTCGACATCGAGTGGCGCTTCTGTATGTATCTATTCTGTGTCTTAAGTGGAAACACCATACTATATTTTTTCATCAGTAAACACAAACACTAAGATAAATTTTGTTGATTTAAATTGATTGAAGCTTTTTAGTAGTTAATGTTTGTATAGTTTATTTTAGGAAAAAGAAAAGTCAAGGATGAATGGTAAGTAATAGCAATTATTTAAACAAAAAAACCGAAACTAACAAATGTGTAAATGTGATTGGTATTTATTGTAATCGGTATTAAAGCCACCCAAACGAATTGGCGAGCATTCCGAAATAACAACAGAAACATCATTTAAAGATTTCTACCGAAAGGAAATGTACTTGGTTCTAGACTCACTTATTACCGAGTATACCGATAACATTAAAGATTGCATCGACAAAATAAAACCTCTTGGAGAGAGCTTACAGCTGCCGCTAGAAAGACCGATGGCTGAAACAGTTAATGAAATGTGTAGTCTTTTTCCACCAGCGTTAAAAGATTTTGATGCAGAAATACTGCTGTCTGAGTTGGAAATTTTCAATATTATTGTGTCATCACAACTTAAATCAGAACGTAAATCCCTTCAAGACGTTGCGTTATTTGCTTTCAAACACAAAAACGTCTTTCCAACGGTGTGCAAGGCGTATCAACTATTGCTGACCGCTACAGTGTCCGTGGCAAAAGATGAAAGGTGTTTCAGCAAGCTTAAGATTGTCAAAAACTGCCTGAGATCCACAATGAAAGATACGCGATTAAATGACTTAATCGTTCTTGCATGTGAAAAAGATCTTACGGACAATGTTGACTTAAATATTATTTTAAAAAATTGGGCAACTGTAAAGATGCGAAAACTGCCATTAAAGATTTAATAGTACGCTAAAGTGCGTTCTGCCACAAAAATACAACATGTATTACAAAAATATATAGTGTAAGTACTGTTCCATATGATCTGCAGGGCATCTTATGTCCTTCCAGGGCAATTTCATCCCGAGCCCCTCCCCCCCCCCATTAAAAAGGTGCTAGTTTCGCCCCTGGATGTAGTTCGTACTTATGTCTTTGAGAAAGAAGCTTAAGTGAAGGCTTAATAAGTCTGTTACGTCATAGCCTCCATCATGTAATATTCATAAAGTAACTCGATGATAATGACAGTGTCAGACAATTGCTGTATCGCTTGCTGTGTGCAGTGTACATCGAAAATAATACAGATGTAATTTAGAATACGGCAGCACTTCCTGGTCCTTTTACGAGAATTATCATTCTGTACATTTGTCCTCATACTGGCGATTCACAAGCAGAATTTCTGCCATGCGACGACATAGTCGAGGGCCTCGAGGCTGTTGTTTACCGTTGCAACTAAAAGCAAGTGGCTTCATTGCTAGCTAGTGGCATCAGTCGAAGAATTGTTGTGTAGGAAGACATTGTTGCTCAGGAAAAAGAACTTGTGAACGCTTTAGAGAGTCAATTAGATTGTTGCTTTCGTTCTGTTCTGAAATGGTCTTAGTGAAAGTATTTATCCATATTTGTAATAATATCCATTACTTGCATCAATATGAAACTCAACTGCATACTTCGTTCAAGTGGGAGTGAGTCCAGTAAGAAGATGGATCAATACCGTATATATTATAGACTATTATGGCTTTCACAAAGTTTCTTTGAACAAATGAGTTCTTGATACTGAAAGCCCAGAGAAAAGTAAGCAATGTTATTATGTATTATTTGTGTGTGATGACAGGAGGCCTCATTGTTTATATAATATATGGAAGCTCCATTATTTCTGATTATTGATAGTAGTTTCGTATTTGGTAATTTACTGTAGGCTCTTAACATCCTTGGTTTTACATTTTCTTTCTACCACTGAAATGTTAGGCTGTCAGGATGTATTGGATGACACATGCAAAGCATTATCAAATATTTCAATAGATATGTTATTGATATTTTGTTAGGCTACACCTGCAAAGCATTCCAGCTGATAAGAATAATGAATCATCTTTGGAGCAAAATATTAAAAACTGAAAGGTATCTTTCTGAACACCTTTTTTGTGTTGTAGAAGATAATTGTTTAACCAATTGTTTGTGTCCTCTTGTGCTTCCTTTAGCTTTTTATATGCAATACAACCTAACTTAAAGAAAAAAAAACTTCATTGCAGCTACCTCATAAAGTTGTATAAATGTAAACTGCATATTACCCCTAGTGAGCCAAATCCATGCCTTGAGATTTTTACCAATATTGTATTAGCATCAGATAATCCTCATATAGCAGTCCAATAAAAATAACATCCAATAGCTTTCCTCCATTTAGTGACAGCATGTAATTCCTTCCTGTACAAGGTAATTAAATAAACTTTACATTTCTTAATTATGTCATAAATCAAAGAAAGTTGGAATGGCTGTTTTTTTATATGCCATTGTATATTCAAATAAATGTTTCTCTTGTATACTTAGTGATAGTTGCATGGCTATCAGAAATAAGTGTTGTTATCATACCAGTGGTAAAAAACCAAACAATTGCTTCATAGTGGCCAAGGTCTCCCATATCTGTACTGTTCTGCTTAACATCTAAAGTTTGCATAAACATACAATTAAAAACGTAAAGGTTAATCTTTGATTTTTATCATCTACTTCTCATGTGAATCACAACAAATGAAATAATGACTAATACTGTCATCCCTACTATCACCAACTCCTACAATACTTTTATTGTTTCTATTGTCTAGAATTTTTGTTGACAAGACTTGCAATACAGGGAAAAGAAAATTATGTTTATGATTATAAGTTGATTTGCTGTATCCTAGAGACTCATGCGTTGATAAACCTGAAAAACCACTGATGTGCCCAGAAAAATTATGGTAAAGCTCAAAAGAAGATTAATGGATATAACTAAGATAAGGTTATCTTTTCCGAATGTGATGTTCATCACAGTTGTAGCAAAATCATTTGTTAACATGGTTACTGAATGGCTTGTTTTCACCTTAAGAACTGGCGCAAAACATAAATGATGTTGCTGAAAAAGAAGGAGTTGCTATAGAACGATAATTTTCTTAGCTTTATATTTCGCACTTGTGTCTTGGCCTGTTGTCAAGAGAATGCAAGTTTGGGTGAAAATACTAAAATGTACGTCTTATCTAGTGAAAATATATAATGGGACCTACTCTTCAACGCTTACAATGTCTTTTCAGCATTTTTGTTGTATTCTTTGCTTGGACATTCAGGATGTACATCATAACTTTATATCTGCTTAAACTGTGGTGTATGTTGCATTTTTTTCATGGTTTGTGCTGAAGTCAATGCAAGTTTGGATAAATTACCAAAGCCAAGTATTTCAGTGAAACATATGTGACCTACTCCTCAATTATCTTCATCAGCATTTTTGTTGTATTTTGTGCTTGGACTGTCTGTCTGATTCCAGTGCTGATGCTACATCCTTTATGTAACTGTTGTATTTACTTGCATATCTTCAGTATCTTTCATAAACTCTTCCACCACATCATCTACAGAACAATAATCAATAATTGTAATCTTTGACTTATAAATTAATAAGTAACAATAATGCATTGCGGTGCCTGACGCAAGCCGACGCATAACCATTTAAATGAAACTAGCTCCTAAAACAATCACTAGTAAAATGCTCCGATTATATCGTTTGACGACATTTCGCATTTTCCGGAGTTAAAATTGATTTGTTTGTAGAGGATTGACTAACCTCCCCCCCCCCCATTGTAGAAACAATCTAGCTTCATATGTTTCTTGTGTTGTTTGCTTTCCATCCTTGTTGTTCGTATGCGATTTGAAAACATGTTCAGCATTGACTACAGTTTTTTCATTAATTTTTCAACTACCATTTAATCTTGTTTTGTGCTTGTTGAGGTCGACCTCATAGAGTTTTTACTTTCTGCATAAAGTGAAGCATGCTCACTTCAATAATTTTGTACTTTTCAACCTGTTTTTTAGCAAGATTGCAAATAAATGTATCTTGTAAATAAATATTTTTTAATTTCCTGATGTATTCTTTCCATTAAAGATATTTATATTTTCATTTTTTCTCTTTTCTTTGTGTGACATTTCACAAATGTATAAGGCTCAGTTTAAGTAATTATATTTTCTGTATTTTGACTTTTTTTATTTGAAGGATGCTAAGTTTTATTTAACAGTTTTGATTTAAAGGTTTTCAATCAGAAAAGAGACTAGAGCGACCAATACAGTTTCATCTTACTATATGATTATTATACGTTTGAAAATGCTATTTTTTGTTTGAGTAAATGAGCCAATTTTTGTAAAGATACATCATGTGCTTGTGGTATGGAAGTCCAGTTCTTTTCAGAACAGCTCATAATTACAACGTAGAAAAATCGTTGAAAAACGCGCGGTCCTTTTCCAACGTCCATCTATAGATACAGAATAAATACGTAATTACAATCCTTATTCTGTACTATAGATGTAAAGGTTGGTCATATTTTTGCTGGAATTTTTATTTTACAGCACATTTTAAAAATTGAACATTATTAAAACAAATATGTGCTATAGTAGATCGTAGAAAACTATGCTTTGGGGTTGAAATTTACGATTGAAAAAACGGCCATTTTTCTTTGCAAAATTTGTAAAAGGCTTGGGGTGATACCTTCCATTCCCCCCCGTAATAGAACTCTAGTGATATTCATTTTAACGTGTAGTCAAAGTTAAGGTAAAGAAAAGTTTAAAAAACCAATCGTAAAACCACTTTTCAAAGTTTTTATAAAGGTAAGCCTACGTCGAGTTTCGTATGTATCTAGTCCAAAAAATATTTTATTGTATCTTCTCTAAGACGCTAATTATTTCGGGAAGGTATAAATGATCTATAGCCATGTGCTTTTAAAAGAGCAGCTTTTTGTTAGATATGTGTTAAGTGTATTCAATGCAATCTTATAGACAACTATGCTTGAAGATTGCTGTTTAGTATACTGGCTTTGTTATGTGATCGTTTAAAGGAAGCAACTTTTTTTATTGCAATTTGAAGTTTGATTCATTGCACTTTCCCTTCTTCCCCTTCATTTTTTCCATGATTTCTAACATATAAAAAATGGTCTTTGGAAGGACTAGTCCCCTCAAAGTTAACTCCCTGGTGACGCCACTAATTGTGTCTACTAAATTATTGCCAACCTTTGGTGTTTTAAGAATTTTTGTTGATTTTGAGGTCTGTGCATGCACATTTATGCATTTTATCAGATGATGGTTGCATGAGAAAAAATACTAAATGCAGACAGTATTGGCTTTCCAGTCTTATTTTTAAAAATAAATTGCAAACAAAAGGCAACACACCATCTGAACAATTTTCAGGTGGAGAAATAGGTGGCATAAACAAAAACAACGGCAATGTGCACCTTTAGCTAAAAGCACACTAGGTTTTGAAGACAGGAAACCAAGCTTAAAATGAAGCATATACGATATACTTTTGTACTTTTTGTGCTATAAATACCGTGCACATCAAAGAAGTCCACACAGAGTAATAGATGACAGAAAGTACAAATGATTTGAATTTTTGCAAAAAATGCCTGAAATGAGAAGTAAATAGCTTTGTAGTAAAAACATATAATATAAATCTTTACAAATTATTATTTTTATAGACATCAAAATGAATGTCTTGGAAGTCCTGGAATACTTCATCAAGTTCTTTGTTCTACATTTATTCCATTACATTCGTAATTGCTTGATGATGGTAGCGCTTACATCATCAATTCTATGCTGGAATTTACGTATTTTGGTAAATTAAGTTCATAACTTTTAAATGTTTGATGTGTTTTTACTGAATTTCTATAGTTGATAAACGAATTTCAGCGTTTATGCAAAATTGATCAAATCGTTAGAATTTAATATGGTTTTACGATTATTGTTTCACGCGTAATATTTCAAGGAAATTATACTTCATGTTTTGAAAGTGCAGCATTTGCTGGCAATATTCAAATCTGTGTGAAAATATTTAAGCAGCAATAAAATCACTGGTTATTTGGTTTGGGCAGCAAATTCAAAAGGCAAATATATAAACAATACATGTTATTAAAATCAAAAAATTTGCCTTTTCAACATTGTTTTTAAAAACTACTTTATAAAGGGAATAGAAAACATTTTACTTGTTTCTATAAAGTTATAAAAACACTTGTGAAAGTTTGGGAGAAACTTAAAATTACTTGGAAACGCTTGCACTTTGTGTGTGTGCTTGCCACGCAATTTTCCGTTTCTCCCGACTTTTCAATCGTCTTTGTATAACCCTAAAGAAAAAAAAAATTTATATAATTCTAAAATGATTTCATTAAATTAAAGATCGTTCATTACACAACATATGCAATATTAGACGTGTTAAATTACAGCGAGTGTGTGACAAATTGGCTTAAAAATATCTTTTTAATCATGGCATGAAAGTTAGGAAAGTAGTATATGCAGCAAGAATATAAAACACTGATTACATTTTGCTTTCTAAAATTAATTTTCGAAATATTACCTATCACATTCAGTGCATGTCAGGCTCAAAAATTTTAGGTCAGACCATTGAAGATGGCAAAGTAACTATTCATTGTTATATTTAAATAATTTCTGAAAAATTGTTAGAGATTATAATTATTTTATCATAAGGTGCTAGATTTTCATTTTAAAGACGCTTTAACTTCTTAGGGAGCCATTGAAAGAATACCAGTATTTTCCATGAACAACTTATGGGATTCTTGTCTAAACTTTGACATAAATACTTTTATTAATATATCATTGTTAGAAATGAAGACAGTTAAAATAGTAACAGTTACAAAAATATTGCAACTCAACAGATTGCATTATAATTGAGAAATCCTTTATTTTTAACAATATAATAAACATTCTTTATTTAGAATATAATTCCGAGTAATAGCCCTCAAGTGGGAAATGGTTTCTTACAAGAAGATGAAGGTGAGCATCTCAATGACCAGCAACTCTTTTAGCTCATACAGAGTACTCAAATCCCGAATCGTCTAATTGTAAATCCACTGACAACAAATCGTTTTATTATGAAGATCCCGGTGATGAGTCCTTAGAAGATGAGTCATCTATTGGTGGATACTCTGATGAGGAATACAGTGAGTACTCTTATGCACAACTATTGAATTGGGACTTTTTTGCAATCATGGAATTCCAAAACCAATGACTTTTTTACTTAGGCAGTGCTGATGATCCAGAAGAATTTAACGCTTCGGCTAACGCTAATGCAGATTTTGGTGAGGCAACAGCCGCACTGTGAATTAATTTACTTTAAATTTTGAGGTTTTCTGAGGTTTTAATATTTTAGTGCACAGTCACTTTAGTGCCATGCTTCAATCTTTTATTTAATGATATAATCAATTTTTAGTTGTATATTATTGGCACGCAAAAAAAGTAAAAAGTAATTTACTAACTTATTTCCTGTTATTATATTTGCTCGTAATATAATAAAAGCAGTTATCAAATTGTCAAAACGTATAGGAGAGAGTATCATTAATTTCATATACGCTTATTGCAAGCTTTTAAATAGCTGGACAGTTCTAGAACTTACGGTGGCCAACAAGGGAAACGTCAACTTTAAATCAATACGCTAAAGTTAAATTGCTCACGCCAAATTGAAATTCATCGCACCAAATTGAAATTCATCGCACCAAATTGAAAATCATCACACCAAATTCAAATTCACACCATTGAGTTCTATAATAACTGGAGCAGCTAACTTTACTGGGCGAGGTCACCAAAAAAATGGTGGCCAACGGACGTATTTCCACTAAAATAAGCGCTTTGCAGAAAAATAATATTCTCGACCTCCCCCTAGTGACTATAGTAAATTACAAAGACTTTTTTAAAAAACAAACACAATACCACAGAATATGGATATCGTTAGTTCCATATTCTGTGACGATATCTTTTTTGGCATTTCTTTTATAATGCCAACACTTCAATCGTTCAACTGTTAGATGTCATAGTTTCCACAAAAAGGAACATATCGCTTCTCACAGGTGAGATAGTTGCTTGTTTTTTTAGTCCGTCAACGATTGAAAAGCTATTATACATGCACTTGGAAAGCCATAAAATACATATTAAAGATCGTATTTTTTAAGACTGACTTGAACGCCAAATATACTGATGTTTTCCTGTTTTTCTTAATAAAATTCTGTATACTTTTCTGTCATTTGTTAATGCATGAAATGGTAGATTTACCCATTTATTTGCAAAATAGTTTCATTAAAGCAAAAAAGATCCTGCACACATTTTGCTCTGTGAGTAAGTATCAAGAAGAAATGATCAGCCCAAACAGTATCCATGATTTGGAGCAGAGCTTGTTATGTTCGATTTGCTGACAACATGCAGGGAAGACCAAGGAGTAAAGATGACTAGAAGATGTTATTGACCAGGCAGAGTCTCAAAAAATGATAATGCTGTAAAGATAATTGATTCATTGTCTGCCCTATCCAGAGTTATTTAATTTGATCATGGTCAAATTCTATGGATGGAGACAATGGATTCACTA